TGGTTTGACATGTGATGCGAAAGAAAGTTGTTACCAAGAGTAGTACCACCATATGCACAATATGGCGTCTGATCTCCACCCGATCATCTAGGCCGCCTTCCCACATATGCCGTGCGGGTTGACTTTTTCAATCCACAAAGGTTCCAGTTTCATCATAATTAAGGGAAATAATATCACAATTTTCCAAAGGTTCCAATTTCATCCCAAATAAGGGGAATAATCACAATCCACCCCTACACCGGCACGTGTAGTTTCAGGTGTGGGCCTTATGACCCACCCTTCCACGGTTTTGCTAATGATGCTCCCAAAAATATTTTTGATTTGATTTGCAAACAGAAATATTATAAATAAAATTGTACTTACCTCAACATCTTTCACATTGTATAAATTCTCATTAGTATTCCCAGTCATTCACAACGACAATATTTCCTTCGCTCATTAGGCCATTCACAAGATTCTTTATTCCTGGCACGATGGCCGTATTTCATATTTCACACTTTCACCTCTTTCAATTTCAATGATCACCATCAAGTATTAATATATAGGATATTTCAGAAATCATATACTTTAAATCCATTTGAAATGGAAACTTTAAACACAAATGGTTTCTTCCCAAAGAATGAGGCATACCATCCAATAATAGAAACACACATGAAACTCATAAACAATCAATACACCATTTATTCTTACAATGCTCTTCCCTAGCAATGACAATGTACCAGTTCAACACATGAGTATATAGACTCGAATCACACTAGATATATTTATAAAGCAAAGCATTAGTTAAAGCAACCACTAATGGGCATGAATTGAGTACAAAAGCTTTTATGTAATTCTATCTTCGAAGTCATTTTTAAACAATTGAGTCGAGGCTCATTTCATATTCTTTATCGCATCTTCTCAAATCATTTGCACTACTAGACACAATCATAACTTAAATTCTTGGCACGTTGGCCACACTCTATATCCCCAATTAACTTATTTCACTTCCAACCATCTTTATAGATTATCAACAATAAGACAATTCCCAATCAAGACTTTAGGTACACATATGAGCAATTAAGAGTCTTAAGAATATTGAGATTTTCTCACACAATTTGGCATATTATCTTTCATTGAAACACGACTCAAAGCCATAACCTTTTTAATACGCAAGCCATACTTTGAAACTTACGGAAACCTTATGGAATTCAATTCCAAGAGAGAAAGTTTAGCCAACATACCTCAATTGAGCTTTCCTTAAATTACTACAACATTCCAGAAATTCTAGCAATCCCAATCTATTTTGAGACATAACAAAATTTAACAACAATTAGGAAGATATTCATGGTCTTAGCTCTTTTGAGCATTTTATCAAACACTAGGTGTGCAAATTTAGCTACAAGGTTCTTTTACAAGATTTTCTTCACTCCACAACCCAATATTTACTTATTTGAGCTCGAGAATCTTCCCACAAACCTTATTAATACAAGCATGTACAAATAATACTCTTATACCCAAGAATTATACTCCAATCCAACCTTCTTTTACCCAAATTTGAAATTGAAAACTAGGGTTTGGAACCTTACCTCTTAGATGAAGATCTTGTGGGTTTTCCTTGTTAATCTTCCAAGATCTGAGCAAGACTTGATGAATAATTAGCCTAGGGTTTCCTCTCTCTCTAAAACACTCTCCCTTCTCTCTAAAACATCAGATTTTTGCTCAAAAATAACCCAAAACGTGTATTTAACGAAGTAGGGTCGGGTTTTCAAAACCCAAAAATGGAGCTCCGGAACAGGTTCTGCAGGTCACATATGCGACCGCATAATGGATATGCGGACCGCATATCGGTCGCATAATTACAGACCAAAACGATCAAAAATCTATCCATGTATGCGGTCCGCATAACTGTTATATGATCGCATAATGCACCGCATAACAGTTATACGGTCGCATAGTCGACCACATAATTGCCCCCAGACTGGCCCTTCTCCTGCTCACTTCTGCGGCCATTATGCGGCTCGCAGAGTGGTTCTGCGGTCGCATAATGGACCGCAGAAATGTGTTTTTCCGCCAAAAATTTTTCTTTACTTTCCGGTGCATTGTTCAACCCAAAAAGTCCGAACTGCGGCGCGCAAGCTCGCCGCGAATAATTTCTAAAATCCTTAAACACGTATATCTACTCTGGCACCACGAAGCCTTGAATTCATTTGCGAAATTTTACGGGGCTGTACACTTAAATACTTCAAAATTTTCCGAGGTGTTACAGGTTATCGTGTGGTTATATCTTTGTAGTATAATTATGATTTATTACATCTTGTTGAGCTTGATATAGTGTTTTTGTACAAGAATCGGATCATAGAGGGAGCTCCAGAAGTTAGAATTTGGTCTTATGGATTCTTACGCTAAGGTTGAAGGAATAATTTTCAGTCAGGATTGTGTAATAGGATCATATGGATTGGGATTATGTGAGTTCACCCATGGTATGTGTAGGATGAGTTATATAGTGCTTTGGAAACCTCGAAATGACTCTTGGCACATTCGAGGACGAACGTATATTTAAGTAGGGTAGAATGTAATGACAAGATAGGTTATTATGAGATTTAGCAGTTCGGAGGTTTGAGACTTTAAGAGGCTTCATATTATGCATTATGATTTGCGCGTATGGTAGATTTTGACTTTCGAGGGGTTTGAAGTTGATTTGGAAGAGTATTTCTCAATTCGAAAGCTTTAAGTTGGAAGAGTTTACCAAGGTTTAACTTTTGAGTATATGATCTCAGATTCGTGTTTTGATGGTTCCAATATGTTTGTATGATGATTTTGGACATGGAAGTATGTTCATATTTGAATTTGGATATTCCGAGAGGGTTTTGGCTCTATTTGGTAGAAGTTGGAAATTTAAAAGTTTGGAAAGTTCATAAGTTTGACTTGGAGTTGAATTCGACGCTATCGAAGTCGGATTGCTGTTTCGGGAATTGGAATAAGTTTTCTTTTGTCATTTATAACTTGAATGCAAAGTTCGGGTTCATTCCAGATTGGTTTGGCTTGAATCAGACGCTTGATTTGAAGTTGAAAATTTATGAGCTTAAGATATTGATTTCGATTGATGATTCTTGGTTTTGATATTAATTACGATATTTGTAGCCTTTGGATTGGTTTGGATGATGTATTTGGACTTATCTGTATGATTTGATGGGGTCCTGTGGGGCCGGGTGTGTTACGGATTTGTGTCGGACCATTTCAGAGTTGCATGAGTTGCTGGTTCTGGTGTGCCGTATCTGTGGAACATTGGTCGGATCTGCACATTTGGGGTTCATAGATGCAAAATTTGTGAAGCCAGGGGGTTGGCTGCTTTGGCGGGAATAAGATCACAGGTGCGGAGTCGCACGTGCGGGAGGAAGTGCGCACAGCAGAGCTGTGCTAGATTGAGGAATTACGTTTTTGCCCTTGTGGAGTCGGTTCTGCAATGTCGCAGATGGGTAGTAGGGTCGTAGATGCGATGAAGGCCTATGTTAGTGGAACTTGTAAAAGCAAGCAGGGCGCTCGTAAAAGCAAGCTCGTAGATGCAAGCTGGAGTCCGCAGAAGTGAGAGTGCCTGGTAGCATATTTTATTCGAGGTTTTGCTTCATTTTATCATATTTTCAGATTGGGAGCACGAATTGGAGCAATCGTTTAGGCGATTTTCACCCACTTGGATTGGGTAAGTGTTCTTAAATTGAATTTTGATCATTATTCATGATTTTATCTTCGATTTTGGCATTTGATTGGTGAATCTAAGGAAGAAATTTGTGATTTTTGCCTACACTTTAAGATAGTGTATTTTGGGGATTTGAGTACCGATTTGGACTCGGTTCTGGAATCTAATTACATATTTGGACTCAGCAGGTTGTGGGTCTCGGGTTTTGGTATTGGTTTTGGATATCAGGCATGTAGGCAAGGGTTGACATTTGTTGACATGTAAGAATTTCTTCAAATATCGAAGCTTTATGGATTAAGATCGCTTCCTATGGCACTGTTGACATCCTTGGCTGATGTTTGACTTGGATTTGCACGATTGGAGGGCTAGGTCAAGGTTTTGACGTGATTCGAGGTTGAAAACTAGCCCAGATGAGGTAAGTATTTTGCTTAAGCTTGGTTTGACGATGATTATCCCTATTGGCTATGATATTTGTTATATTTGTTATCTTCTGCTATTATATGCCTTATTTTGCTATCATGCTTCTTTGATATCATATTTTCTCCATTGTTATGACTATGTGAGCTATCATTCATTATAAAAATCATGTCTAGGCTATTTGCTTACTTGTTGAGGCATGATAGAGTTATTTTTGCTATGTTGAGCTCTTTGCCTTAGTCATAGTCATACTTTTTAGTTATGACACTATATCCGCATGTTATATCTCCATCTTTGCGCCTTTTTGATATTCTATCTCAAATGTTGTTAGTGTCCTTGTACGTGACATGAGTTTAAGCTGAATTGTATTGTGTTGGTATCTTCCATGTGGCATATTGAGTTACATTTATGTGAGATGTTGGCATACGGAGACTTGAGTAGATTATGACTGATCTTGGGCCATAGAGCCGATTTGATATTAATAATGAGTTGACGCGTGCGCCAGGCCCCATGTTGGGCTGAGTGGTATTGATTATGAGGTGACGTGTGCGCCAATCCCTATATTGGGCTAAGTGATATTGATAGTTAACTTTGATGCGATCAGCGCTTGGGCAAGGACCCGCCCCTCTGGAGTCAGGTGATAACCATAGGTGCATGCACAAGGTCATATATATGTGCTTGGTGAGGGACTTGTGTCAAGCACCCGTACAATGCTGGGTGTGTATGTTTGTGCGAGGGTCCATGGGCTTTGAGCCAGGCACTGTGAGTGTGCATAGAGTATGGTGAAGGGGTACTTTGTGCCAGGCACTATGAATGTACTGAGATTATGTACACTTGATATTTAAACTATGATTTTCTTGGTGATTTGGCATGTATATGTGACATGCAGGCATAGATTTGTATTATTCCTCATGCTAAATGGTATTTGATGTCTCTAATTGATGTTTCGATCTTGATATGATAGTTTTATCTTGTTCAATACCTGTCTAAGTGAATTTTGTGGAAGTTCATGCCTTGTCTGTTATATCTTAAAGGCATGTATACTTTTCCTCCTGTCATGCTAAGCTGAGCACATTGTTATTTGAGATGCTTTTATTTATATATGCTATTATTCTGATGTTATTGTCATTGTTGGCTATGGAACTTGAGCATCGGACCTTGCCAAGCTCATCACTACTTTCATCCCGAAGTTAGGCTTGCTACTTATTGAGTACACGGGATCGGTTGTACTCATACTATACTCTGCACTTCGTGTGCATATCCAGATGTTGCTGATAGTGGTGGTGGCCAGTGAGTTGGATCCAGTTTTTCTTGGAAATCTCGAGGTAGCACTGCTGTATGATTCATAGGCCTTAAAGTCCCCTCCTTTATCTTATGTTCTTACTGTTCCGTCTTCCAAACAGTATCATATTTTATTCTGATCTTGTATTCCGTATTCTATAGAGCTCATGCACTCAGTGACACAAGATTTTAGGGTGAATTCACTTGTATTAACATTTTTACTTCAGTGATTTATATCATTCCGCTTTTGAGACTAGTTCTTTTCATTATTAAAGTTTACTTCTGCTTATTTGTTGTTGGCTTGCCTAGCAAGCGGTGTTAGGTGCCATCACGACTCCGGTAGAGGTCGTGACATGAGTAAAATCCCGAAAATGGCATCTTGAGTACACTGCCCAGCTGAATACTAAGCGAACGCGACCTCAGCCCCGCGTTCGCGAAGAACCAAAACCCAGCGCCTGAAAACCCTTCACCACGAACGCGAAGGCCAACTAGCTTCTAAGCTACGCGAACGCGAGAGACCAAGTGCGAATGAGAAAGGGTGCTAACCAGCTTTTACCAACACTTTGCGAACGCAAAACAATCTATGCGAACGTGATATTCATCATCCATAGTATTCCACAAAGGCGACCACTTTATAGAGAACGTGATGAAAAAATCACCAATCATGCAAAACACTCTATGTGAATGTGACTCACTGATCGTGAATGCGATTAACATCAGAATACCAGAAGATTAGCTATGAAAAACTCAACTAAAATGGTCTGTAACCTCCCTGAAACTCACCCGAGCCCCATGAGACCTCGTTCAATCATAACAACAATTCGAAATAAATTACCCAAACTTGTCTAAAGGTTCAAAACACTACAATTAATATCAAAACCCAGAATCAAAGGTCAAGATCATTCTCTTAACTTTTAAATATTCCACTTTGCCGAATGCGTCCGAACCACATTTAGACATTCCGGATTATAACTAAACTTTGCACACAAGTTCCAATGGATAAAACAAACCTATTTCAAATTTTGGACAACAATCCAAACCTGATACCATCAAAGACAACCTCTGGTCAAACTTGTGAACACTCTAATTCTTCAAATTGCCAAATTTCTCCAAATAGATCCAAAACCTTCTAGGATCATCCAAATTCAATTCCAAACATACGCCCAAGTCCAAAATCGCCATACGGACCTATTGAAATCATCAAATCTCGATTCTGAGGTCGTTTACTCAAATGTCAAATATTGTTCAACTCTTCCAAAATAAAGCATCCGAATTGAGAATTACTCTTCCAAATCAACTCTGAACCTCTCGAAAGTCAAAACCAACTATACACGCAAGTCATAATGCATAATATGAAACTACTCAAATTCTCAAACCCCTGAACGAAGTGCTATAGCTTAAAATGACCGGTCAGGTCGTTACAATCGGATAACTATAAAGTGCAACCTATATCTTTTCTCATGTTATTATTGTTACTATTTAGATTCTAGGGGTGTACATGAGTCTATTTGGTTCTATTTTTCGTTAAATAAAAATCAAACCAACTATGCCGGTTTATAAAATCTATATATCAAATCAAACCACCAAAAACTTAATTTTTTCTGTTTCTATTTTAGAGAGTTGAACTGCAATTTCCCGAATTATATTTTTCCACAAGAAAAAAGTTCTAATATAATTAATGTTAAAACTTATTATTGATAGTGTTTTATTTTTATTTTACCAGTGATTGCACAAGCGCGTTGCGCGTGTAATCCTTATCAATGTTACAAATTTTTAAAAAAATCATATAAATTTTAAAAAAAAATTTAACTAACTAAATGAAAGAAGAATCCACCAGCTTAAATTTTTTTTTCAGTAACCCATGCAATTTAACTTTAAAAAGTCATATACTTAAATTGTGATATGTCTCCAATAATCAAATAAAGTCAACTGAAGAGAGAATTTTCAAACAAAGAGAAAGGCTTCACAAGAAATCTAATATACCCACTACACGTCTACACCAACATAAAATGAGAAAGAGAAAGTCTGAAAGAATAAATAAGCATAAGAATATGCATATATATATATATATATATATATATATATATATATATATCTTTGAACCTAATTAGTTCTCAAGCCACAAAAAGTAATGCCATTAAATAAATCAAATTCCAAGTAGAGGAAACCTATGTCAATCTAACAACAAAAGTAAGAACAAATTTTAATCACTTAGCTTTAAAAAACACTGATGCCTGTGAGAAAACATACCAAGCATTGATATGAAAATTTCAAAGAGCCCTTTCTGTAGTTGGTGAAAATATTTGACAATTCCTTTCTCTGTCTCCACAAAAAGATAATAGCTTTGAATTGTACTTTTATAACTACTATTATATAATTTTGTTGTCTTCTCAAATTTCGTGTTCAAATTAAAGGAGCATTTAATTGAAATTTGAGTGAAGGAATAAAATAGAAAAAGATAAATTGAAATGTCTATTTACATTTTTGTACAAAAATATTGAAGAAATAGTGTTTGAATGAAGGGTAAAAAAGGTCGTTCACCTATTGATGGCTATTTAAGTCTTTTATGTTGGTAATATCTTAGATACTGATTGGAGTGAAGTCCTCGTCTTTAAGAGAATTTTAAGAAATTATTATTTTTATTTATTATCCCAGTAGTTATCACAGTGTTGCTATTTTCCTGGCATGTCAGCAGATTTTAGCCTTTTTATTTTGTATTTCAGTTCAGTTACACCTTAATTTTTTCTGAAGTTAAAATTTAATAAGATACAAAATTTTCACTTACTTTTCTTGTTTAATGCAATTTAGCACAATATTGGTATCAGAGCCCTTCTTCTTAAGGGACTTGTGAGACAAGTGTAAGGTTTTTGACTGAGTATTTACCCGAAAACATCAACTAAATCTGTTTCTACAAAAGACCATTAAAACAATAAAAAGCAAGAGTTCTTTTTTCTTCTATGGCTCCACCATTTTTCGATGGAGAATATTACCAATCCAGGTCAGTCAGAAACTTATTTGGATGTGTGTGATTTATGGCAGTCTATATAAAAGTATTATAAAGTACCTCCTCTACTAGAAAATCCCGCCATAGCTCAGATCGAACTCCACAAAGAGAAGAAGAAAATTCCAAGCTAAAGCTTTCCTCTTTACTGCAGTTCCTCCTATCATTTTCAGTAGAATCATTATATGTAACTTAGCCAAAGCAAATTAAAATTTCCGCAGAATAAGTATCAAAGAGATGAAAGAATCAAAGGAATGAAAATACTAAACTTGGTAAGAGAATTCGAGAAGCGCGAATGAAGAAATCTGAAACCTTCAAGTATTATTCAAACATGTTGCTTGAGATGTAAAATAAGGTAAGGATACTTAAAATTAAACTTACTGACAATAGAATAGATCAAAAGATACTTGTAACCATATATAAGAGATGCGAGGCAACTATTGTTTCATTAGAAAATACTAAAGTTCTATCAAATCTTAGCTTAGCAAAGATTTTAAGTCCGTTGTATGCATAAGAAAAGCTTAGCTTAATAGAGTTGTTGAGTGATCTACAAGCATAATGATCTTATAAAAGATCTGCTACAGAACGAATACGTTTGTTTTTTAAATGATTCATATCGTCAAGTGCACCCATTCCAAATTTCAGCCCAATCAAATGATCGGCGGTCTCCAATATATCTCGTGGTAACAAAAATATATTGTTCTGGGTATATGAAGGTTCAGTCTCCAGTTCATATTTCGTCGACCAATCCTTCCTAGATACTAGATAGACAGGCCAGTCACTTGTGACATAAGATCCTTCTATGCTTGTCTAACTCAAGCCAGATAGCAGCAATCACTCGAAATAGTCATATGCGGAACACATGCAAGTCCATATTGAAAGATAAGAAAAGCAAGTAAAAGCAAACAAATAAGGATGATGAGGAAAGTAGGATCCACCAACAAAGACTTCCAAGCCAAGTTGCTACTGGATTCTGGCAACAGGGAAAAAAAAAGAAAAGACAAAAAAATGCAATTATAACAACTCTGAATCAATAATAGTAGAAAATAATATAATTATCACCACTAAAAATAAAGAAGGTCAATATAATCCTTCTTGTCAATATTGTGGCAAGAAGAATCACCATCATTATAAGTGTTGGAGAAAGCTGGATATCACATGCAAGAAATGTTACAAACTTGGGCATGCTGAAATCATTTAGAAAGAAAAAGGACAATACGATGGAGAGGCTCAAGTTGCAAATAATCGGGAGAAAGAACAAATCTTTGTTGCATCTAGTATTTCGGGTGACAATTAAATTATTGATAGTGAATGCACGAACCACATGACCAGTGATAAAAATTTTTTTAGAAAACTTAATAGATCAGCTGCATTATTGATAGTGGATGCACGAACCACATGACCAGTGATAAAAAACTTTTTAGAAAACTTAATAGATCAGCTGCATAAATGGTTAGAATTAAAAATGGAAAATACATTCCAGTAAAAAAAAAAAGGAATTGTAGCTATTGAAAGTTATATAGGTAGAAAATCTATTTTTGAAATTCTGTTTGAAACTTATTTGTGAAATTTTGTTTGTTACTGAAATTGATCAGAATTTACTAAGTGTTGGAAAACTATTAGAAAATGGATTCAAATTATATTTTAAAGACAAAGCGTGTCTTATAATTGATCCAAGTGGGGTCAGGAATTATTCAAAATTAAGATGCAAGACAAATATTTTTCTCTAAATATAGTAGAAGTGTAGCATGCGACATATCCAAGTCGGCTCACCATTGTAAGTAGTTGTTACAAGAGGTTAAAATGTTTTTTTTAATTATAAAGCTTTTTTATTTATGCAAAGGAGTAAAATGATAAATGATCTACCAGATTTGTAGAAGCATCTCTCAAGCTGCATGTCTTGTCTACTTGGCAAGCAGACTAGAATTCCATTCAAAATTCCCACATGGAGAGCTACAGAAAAGTTGCAGCTGATTCATACTAATCTCTGTGGTCCACAAAAAACTTCATCATTAAATGGTAGCATATATTATATATTTTTATTGATGATCTAGCAAGAATGTGTTAGATTTATTTTATGAATTTTAAATTAGAAAATTTTTGAACTTCTGTGAAGTTTAAAATCTGCATCGAAAACTAGAGAGGCTACATGATTCAGGTCATTAGGTCATACAATGAAAGTAAATATACATCAGCAAAAAATTCAATGGTTTTTTTTGAAGAGGATGACTTCAAGAACCAACTCACTGTCCCAATACTATCCACAACAAAATAAGGTTAATGAATGTAGCGATCCATTCAGTTGTTTTTAGCATTTCCATTCCATTCAGTTGTTTAAAGTTTTGAGTAGTCTCATATAATGTAATATGACTTGTGTGAATCGTCGCTTTTGGTTTTCAGATGATTTGGAAGAATGAATCTCATGTTAGATGGTTTATGTTGGAAGAGTTGACCAAGTTTGGATTTTATATATTTGACCTCGGATTGGAGTTTTGATGATTTAGTTAGGTCCGGATGGTGATTTTGGACTTGGGCATATACTCGAATTTGTATTTGGATGTTCCTAGAAGATTTCAGCACTATCTGGCGAAAGTTGGCAATACAAAGCTTTGGAAAGTTCATAGATTTGACCGGGAGTTGACTTTGATGATATAGGGTTCGTATTGTGATTTCGAAAATTGGAATAGCTTCGTTATATCATTTGGGACTTGTGTGCAAAATTTTAGGACATTTGGAGTTGATTTGATATGGTTCAACACGAGTTTTGGAAGTTGAAAGTTCAAAAGTTTATTAAGTTCGATTTGAGGTGCGATTCGTGGTTTTAATATTTTTATGAATGATTTGAGACCTCGAGTAAGTCTGTGTTATGTTATAGGACTTGTTGGTATGTTCGGACGGGGTCCCGAAGGGCTTGGGTGAGTTTCAGGTGAGTTCCGAATCATTTCCATGTTCTTTGGCACTGCTGATTTCTGGTGTTTCAAACCTTCTGTGTTATCGCAAAGATTGGGTCGTGATCGTATAGTGTATTATTGGAGCTGGGTATTTCTTTCATTGCGTTTGCGACCGGGTAATCGCATTCGCATACCTTTGTGAGTGTAACGACCCGACGGATCATTTTGAACATTTACATTCCGTTTAGCTATTTGAAGTCTTGAGTAGTTTCGTATGATGTATTAGGAATTGTGTGAATCATCGGTTTTGGTTTTTAGGTTAATTAGAATTGATTTGGGAGAAAGATTCTCAACTAGGAAGATTAAAGTTGGAAGAGTTGACCCAGTTTGACTTTTAAGTATTTGACCTCGGATCAGAGTTTTGATGGTTCCGTTAATTCCGGATGGTGATTTGGACGTGGGCGTATAGCCGGATTTGCATTTAGATGTTCCTAGAAGGTTTCGGCACTATTTGGCAAAAGTTGACAATTTGAAGGTTTGGAATATTTATAAGATTGACCAGGAGTTGACTTTAGTTATATCTGGTTCGATTGTGGTTCAGAGAATTGTTTTGTTATGTCATTTGGGACTTGTGTGCAAAATTTTAGTTTATACCGAGTTGATTTGATAAGATTCAACACGAGTTTTGGAAGTCGAAAGATTCAAAGTTCATTAAGTTCGATGTGAGAAGCGATTCGTGGTATTGATGTTGTTACGGGTGATTTGAGGCCTCGAGTAAGTCCGTGTTATATTACGGTACTTGTAGGTATGTTCGGACGGGGTCACGAGGGGCTCGGGCGTGTGTCAAATTAATTTCAGACCACCTTCTTCATATTTTCATTGCTGGTTTATGCTAGTGTCTGGTGCCCCAATTGTTCTTTGCGATCGCGAAGGTGAAGGTGCGATCGCGTAGAGGAAAATCTGGAGTTGGGCACCTTCTTCATCGCGGTTGTGATTGGATGACAGCATTCGCGTAGGGCTGTGTTGGTTACTGTTTGCGTTCGCTTACTAGGTACCGCGATCGCGTAGAGCTGAGACGGGGAGCTTGGAGCTGATGAGTTCTCCTCCGCATTAGCGTGGGTCAGACCGCGTTCATGGAGAGTTAGCATTTGTGGGCATCACGTTCGCATGAGTAGGCTCGCAAACACGTAGAGTATTTTAGGGGTAATGCATTTTCTTCTTCGCGATCGCGATGACATTTCCACGATCGCGATTCATTGATTCGTCCAGTGATTATAAGTACTCTATTTTCGGGGGTTTTAGCCATTGTAACATATTTGGAGCTATAGAGCTCGGATTGAGGCAATGTTTAGCGCATGGATGGGGTAAGTGTTCTCTACTCGGTTTTGATTATATTTCATGAATCTATCCTCGTTTTTGGCATTTCATTGATGATTTCAAAGGAGAAATTGGAGGGGTTTTATCTAAAATTTCATAGAGTGAATTTTTGAGTTTTGAATATCGATTCGGAGTCGCATTTGAGTGAAACTAGTATGGTTGGACTCGTAATTGAATGAGTTGTCAGATTTTATGAGTTTTTGTCGGGTTCCAAGGTGCGGGCCCGGGTTTGACTTTTTGGTTGACTTTAGGCTTTTGATTAAAGATACAACCTTTATCGATTGGGTTTGTTTCCTTTGGAATTATTGATGTTTTTGAGTTACTTTTGGCTAGTTTCGAGCCGTTTGGAGGTCAATACGCGCGGGATGGCGTTTCTAGAGTATTGTTTGGCTTGTTCGGTATTGGATTCGGCTTGTTCGAGGTAAGTAACACTTCTAAACTTACTGTTGAGGGTATGAATCCCTGAATATACGTGTTATGTGTTGGTGTTGAGGTGACGCACATGCTAAGTGACGGGCGTGCGGGCGTGCACCGTGTGAATTATGACTCGGTTGATTCTGTGATACTGTGTAGTTATCTATCTTGTTTCTATCCATGAAATTCCTACGTGTTAGAGTAATTGAGATGTGATCAATGTTAGAACTCATGTTTAAGCCATATGCTAATTCTGTTGGGACCCACTGAGGTCATTTATAATGTTGAGTTATTTGCTTAAATTGCAATTACATACTCAATCATATTCATTTATTTGCATATCATATCTTAGTCTCTGCTATCATTTGTTGTCACATCGTGTTATCATTGTTTGGGCTGATTGGCATGAGATTTGTGAGCCCGAGAGACTAAAGAGATTGATGACTTAGTGAGGCCAAGGTCCTGATTCTGAATGATATTTATGGGATCGGGCTGCACGCCACAGCAGGATTTATTGATTCATGATGGGATTTTGTTGTATGCTGCAGCATGCCATGATTTGCTTATATTAGCGCTTGGGCAGGATCCTACCCCTCCGGAGTTTGACATACCAGTAGTGAGCACAGGTAGCGATGACTGCGAGTGCCGAGTGATAGAGAGTGCTGAGTGATTGGGAGGTGCTGAGTGATTTAGAGTGTTGAGTGATTGGGAGGT